CTAGGACTCCGGTCATCGGGCCGGTGACCTGTCCTGGGGTGCGTTTCACCACTCCCCTCAATGGTCCAGTCGGGGCCTCTACCGCCTGCTCTCACCAACCCTTGATAGACATCATCATCATGCTAGGCCTACCGCCGGTTGTTGATGACGCTGCGAGCATCCTGGTTCGGCCCGAGGCATTCACGCATAGGTGGTCGGTGTGGAGCGGGCGCTGGGTCAGGCCGTGGTGCAGCTACGGCCTCTTGTTCCGCGCTTGTCAACTGTTGAGGTGAGCAGATGGAGCGGTGCGACTGGTGCGCCCCCATTCCCTTAGTGGGGAGAGATGCCGCGAGTTGGTGTCACAACACGGAGCTCTCCGCCTGTTGAACGGCGGCGGTTTCCACCAGTGCTCGGAGGTTTCGGTGGACCGCCTGCTCCTAGGGGTTGATAGGCTCTGGAAGGCCACGTAGAAGCATTACTGTAGCGGCAATGTTCTGGCTAGCCTGAGCGAACTGTGGGGGATCGTTCCCCCCATCCATGATGTTGCGCTGGACCTAGCAGGCAAGTCCCTGGGCACCGCTCGCTGGGTTACGCGCATGTGGCGCAGCGTGCTGCACCGAGCGCTCTAGCGCAGGTGGCGGCTAGTTCTACCACCTTTGTCGTAGCTCCTCGCCGTGCTCCTACGCACATGTGAGGGCCTCCGCATGAGGGTTTGAAGGGGTGTGGGTCTACAGAGACTCCGCTACCACCGATGATTGTCCCAAGGCATCTGCCATAGCGCACTCCCGGGACAAAGGGTCGCTAGGTGCCATGACATCACCGATGCTAGAGCCGTCGCTCTCAACCTCATCATCCATGAGGTTGTGGAAAGAGGTGGGAGCGTAGCCTGCCATCCCCATGAATTCGGATGTGAGAGGGGGGGCATCAGCATCTTTTGGAGCCCCCGTGCGTACGCGTCCATGGGGGACGTGAAGCCGTAGGGGAACCGGTCTCATGGCGGTTGCGGCGGGGACAACAGGGTCCCTCTGGAGAGTTGGCGAAAGATAGTAAATAGAGAGTAAATAACAGTATGTAAGTTACTCACAGCGGGGTTCGAGCCTAGCGTAGGCTCAGAGCGAAGCGTAGGCGCCTTGTCATTGAGGGCGCGGGGTGGCCCAGAGCTGATGGAGGGCGCTCCTCCTCCGATGGGCGCTGGGACAAGTACGTCCTCGTGGAGGTAAAGCACGCCGAGCCGGTCGGTGACGAAGTCTAGGCTTCCAAAGAGGAAGGCCTGGGACTACTCAAAGACAGGAGGAACCCACATCCCAATAGGTGGGAGCAGCGGGAAACTCCAGCAAGTTGAAGCGAGTCATATCGCTTGAGCCCGCCATGCTGAAGATGGCGGAAAGATGGGCCATCCGATGACCAAAAGTGTGAACGTACGACATCTTCCCCACAGACGGCGCCAACTGTCGGTGCAAAAAGTGACCAACTAGTAAATATTTGTCATTTTGTCGTACGTTGTGATCGGATGTGGCCGAGCACTCAATGACACAGGGTTGATACTGGTTTAGGCAACGAGCCCTACATCCAGTTTGAGTCGGTTGATGACTTTATTCCTGAGCCTAGGTGCTCGAAGTTTACTGTGGGGTTACAAACGAGTGGGAGTAAGATGGGGGTGTTAGAGGTCCGGTCGGACTCTGGATTGCTCTTCTAGACTGTCATGACAGGAGCTCCTACATGCGCTAAGTATTCGAACATGTGCTCTGTGTAGCTTTAGAATGTCTAAAGCTAGAAGAGAGTGAGCTAGAATGATCCGTCTGCTGTTTATTGTTCGTTGTCTGAATCGATCCCCCTCGTTTAGGAGAGGCATCCCCTTTTATAGGCGAAGGGGGTGGCCTTACAAGTGAGAGAGAGAGAGAGAGTGAGAGTGTGTGTGCCCTAGCCTTGTTGCCCACGCCATCGGATACAAGATGGTTTGTCGGCACCTACAATACCATTGACGCCTAGATGCATGTGGTTGGTTCCATCGTGTTCTTCTAGTATGGCAAAAGTCAGCGCCTACCATACTGTAGGACAAATGTCGGCGCCCACAACAATGTTCGTTGTTCTGACATGTTTGGAAGGTTATAAAGTACCCTTCTGACATGACCTGATAGTACTGTCCTGCGGTGTGCAGGGTATGGTTCTTGGTATTGCCGTTGACTTGAGCACCCTATCTTACTTGCTCCGCATGATTCTTTGGGTACTAACCGAGCGGGCGTCCCCATTCGGTTGTTTCCCAGTCGGCTCCAACTAGGCCGGTCGGAGAAGAGCTATAAGCAGAGGTTCAGTGTACTCTCAGTCGGAGAGGTGGGTCGGAGTCGGAGGCGAGCGTCGTTCCTTCCTTGGCCAGAACTTTCGGTCGGAGAGAGTTGATAAGGGGCCATGTTGGAGAGCGTGCGGCAGATCTTGGACATCTCGATGAGCGACCTGTTGTGGTCCTCCATGGGGTTCTTGGAGCCAGCCTTCCTGAACTGCTCATCGCAATTCTGCATGTCCTGTGCCGCCATGCTCATCGTGGCGCGGATGGTGACAACATCCCTAAAGCTAATGGCGCGCTTGCAGGCGCCGAGATTGTCTCTGAGTCAGGATTTCTAGAGAGGACAAAATGGGCACATGATACTATTTTTTGGTGGTGGCAGATAGGGTTGAAGGATAATAGTGGAGGGATCACACAAACTGGACTCAAATATGATCTAAGCTAGCAACAATACCTTGATATAGGACACACTAAACACGATGGACTCTAAAACTAGATTATGCAAAAGTTATGGCACAAAAGGGTGTAGGATCGAAAAACAAATATGGCGGTGGACTATGGGACAATGGCAGAAACACTAAAACCTAGGTAAAGGTGTGAACCTAATGGTAACACCTGAAGCTCTAATTACCAGTAGATGAGAATGGGATTCTAATCTTCTGTTAGATGGAGATAACTATCGATTTGGCACATACTTGACACACTGATCTGGCTAAAGACCATAAGATCTAAACTCCGCAACCTTAGCACCACATTTTGTCTAGCTATCAACCATGTTACTACCCAGTTGATCTTGTTGAGAAGGCTAATCCCTGCCTATGAATCGAAGAATACGAGCAAGAACTTGAAAGAACACAATGTAAAGAAAAGTTGTTGATGTATGATTAAGCACTCGAAGTTGCGGTCTCACAAATCAATGAACGATGACTGCTCAGTGATAGATTGGTCTAAAGCAAAGCCCCAACCATAACATGGGCAAAGCCACTGATTGTAAGGTCTTTGGGGCATGCATACCCCTAGACGTGCCCTTAATAGGCTCAAAGATGATACATGGCCCAATGGATCAAAATTCGATGTCGCAACACCGTGGTAGATTCTGGACGTAGATTTATTTTGATGATTTCTATTGACTCCGATGGATTTTTGGTGTGAGGCTAGTGCCATTGGAAAGCTTGTCTCCTTAACTTTCGGTGCATATATAGAATGTCAAAAATGGAGTCCATATGCATACTGGAGATGTTTTCAGTGTGGGCTACTCCTGGAGACTGACCTAGACCCAAACTTGACTTAGATTGGGCTTCTATCTTGACTTGGATACCCTTGCCGGTCTTTGCTGCCCCCATGCCTCTCTCTAAATACTTCATGATCCTCTCCATCGTTCCTATTAATAATAACATTATTAGGTAGCAATCTATTCTCATAATCATATAAAAGGACCGCTTAGGAACATGCTCACCTCTAGATTTAATTGTTGCTTTCAAGCTTTAGTTATCGGTCCTTGTATAGTGATTGGAGGAGCAACATGTGCATCTAAAAGAGTGATGTACTCATTATGTGGCCGCGAGCTCGATTGCCAGAGATGCACCGGGATGCCAAGTAAGTGCGCGAGATGGATGAACACGCTGTTGATGGGGGATGCCTCCATCCTATCAATTTCATGGGATGGGTGTGACCTGGATCTGGGACGAATATTCCCCCTAGGGGTGGCCTAGAACTGAACACCGGTAAAATGGGGATTGTCCCGTCCCATCTCCATAAACCTTGCAACTGAACACAAGCTTACTCATCGTATAGTTTGTTTTGGTAAGGATCTTGATGAGCCAGCAACTTTCTCCAATCCCCTGCACTGTATGTGATCTCAAAGGTTACGGTGCCACGGTCGTCGATGCAGATGAGATGTAGGAGCATTGGCGGACGGTAGTGGAGGCAAAGATGGGTGCTTGCCCCCCTTCCTCCACGCGTTGATCGCTAGTCTTCATCTGTTCTTGTCAGCTCATGTGGCTGACGTGAAACATTCTTAGTTGTAGCTTAATTGCCCCTGTGTCCCACTTTATTTGGCACCACACTCAATCACTGCATATATAGGAGTATTAATGAACATAGGATGTTGTTGCCATAGAGTTGACCTGAATGCAACATCACCGTCACGTACGTTGAAAACACATATGCCTCCTGACCAAATGCGTCACCACATGGGTGGAGCTTTATTTAGTATGTGTGCAGCTACAGCCACACAAAAATAGAATATCAGTGGTAAGAGTCGAATTTTCATCATATTTGTACCCTTATATCACAAATCTTTGTACCAACATTGCTTTTGCACCGCTTTTAAATTTGCTCTAGTTCGGTCCCTGGGTCACCAGGCTCTAGATGCCAAGTTGTTGGCAATATAATGCCTACCGATCCTCACCACCCAACTCGGGCGAACACGAGGAAGAAGACCAGCACATACAGTGTTTTGTGCTGCCAAGAACTGAGCAGCGTTTTTAGTTGTAATTGATTAATGACTGGCTATATATTAATAATAAAGAAGCACAAATTAGCATGTTATAGGATTATATAGGCTGCCCTACACGCGTGCCTCTCAACGAGCTGCATGAGGCAACATGGAAAAGAAGGACGCGCTAGCTCCGCATGAACTGGGCATGCGTCCATCTCTATCGACTGACACACGCGACCATCAAATTGCATGTTAGGCCGCACTTAGACGACGACGTTACTGAACATTGGGGAAACAAAATCAATGGGAATGTTCGTAAGGGACCATGTTGGAGAGCGTGCGGTAGATCTCGGACATCTCGATGAGTGACCTTTTGTGGTCCTCCATGGGGTTCTTGGAGCCGGCCTTCCTGAACTCCTCGTCGCAATTCTGCATGTCCTGTGCCGCCATGCTCATCGTGGCACGGATGGTGACGGCGTCCCTAAAGCTGATGGCGCGCTTGCAGGCGCCGAGATTGTCCCCGACATCTAGGTAGTAGCTTTTGTAGAGATTCAGTGCCCTCCGTACTAAGGGCATCGGAGCCGTCTTGAGCTCCTGCTTCGCGAGCTTCCGTGCTGCCTTGACGCGCTTCTTGAACGCGTCCACCTGCATCTCTAGCACCGTCACCGCGTCCATGACCTTGTACTTCTCGGCATGCTTCCTCGCCGTCCTGGTGCACAGATTGGGGAAAGGGGTGTTCTAGCAGACTTCCGCCACCCCGGCAACTCCCCCAGTGGCCGCCATCGGGCATGTGGCCAGGAGGGCGACGGCAGCCGCGAGGACGATGAGCAGCGGGCGGGCTTGGGCCATCGCTAGCTGATGGTTTTTATTAGTCGCAGGGTTAGTTTGTGCAGGAGGCCGGTGGGGGGTACGGAGGGGCTGAGCAAGACTGCTCAATTGGACTGGACCGACGAAGGCAGATAAGTACTCCTACCTACTTGAGACGGGTGGCTCTACATGCATATGGACGATGGAAATGATGGCTCTCCTCCATCGCTCGGGCTGCCATGGTCCGCTCACTGTCGTCGCTAGCTGGCGTTGGGATTGTACTAAGCTAAGGTACCCTAGCTAAACAATGGCGAGAGCCTCATAGCCTCATCTCCTCCTTTTGTTTTGCTAGCTCCTTACTAATTTGAGATGGTCTAACGGCCGGGAATAGAGCATAGAGCACGTGACAAAAAATAAATAAAGACCAGCACAATTTGATATAACAAATACAAAAAATAGGTAATGGACTTAAAATTTAGAGCTCTTTTACCATGGTTGCTGGGAAGCTGGAGCTTGTGGGTACTTTGTGTCCTCTGATTTATTGTAGCCTTTGATTAGAGAAAAGAATTCTTTAAATTATAATAGGTGCCATCACTGTCAGAGCACAACCGACAGTGATGCTCTGATAGTGAATTTTTAAAATTATAATAGGTGCCATTACTGTCAGAGCACACCCGGCAGTGATGCTCCGATAGTGATTGCGTGTTCTGGCGTAGTGGGAGGATATGCAAAAAATATCGCCCACACGACCACACCTGCAACAAATATTACCCCTGAGGCTTAGCACCCACAAGCAGAAAAGAGGGCGGCCAAAGAAAAATGACAAGACTCCTACATCCTCCTAAGACAAATTAAGTACCAAGACTATCGCTGAACAAGTTCGAAGCTCAAACAAAAGTCTGATAAATTCAATACGACACCTGAGCCCTTACAAGCAAATTTAGAGCTCATTTCAAGATTGGGTCTTATATAATCGAATGAGTTTATGCAAATTTAATTTATTAGTTTTGGATGGTCTTATTTGTTGTCAACGCCTATTATTGTGTTCCTCGGATCAAACATATATGTTATACGTTATGTCATGTGGCAGACTTGTATAATGCATCTATTCCAGTATTGTGTTTCATGACCTATAACATTTCAATTGACACAGTCCTAAAAGCTCGAGTCTTCACAACTGTGCAAAAAAGAAATTCACATCGGCATTGTCTAAACATTCATAAAAAAATTGTCTAAACAAACAATTTCGGTGTTCTATTTCAGAACTCACACACCACAAAATTGACAATCACACAATAAATAAGCCATACATTTTGCTGCACAAAATTGACCATCACACAATCAATAAGTAGATTTTTGACGCACAAAATTGATAATCACACAATCAATAAGTCATACATTTTGCTGCTCAATTTCACAAACCAAAGCGGACAACAAACTTGATACAACCCCATTATGGACATTGTTTCATTTAGTGTCTACTTTAGACCCTATACTTTCTTAAGTTCTACAACACTCAAGCTATGCCTAGATCTACAACACACATGAGCAGAGTGCCACACCCAGTACTGCTACCGGCGACAACTCTTCAAAAAGGATGACGCCACCCCAATAGCGAAGGTGCCAAGCCACAAGCCTCTAGATGTCAACAGGGAATTCCCGTCGGGGGTTAGGTCCCCATCCCCGTCCCCGCGGGGAGAATTTTTCCCGTCCCCATCCATGCGAATGTCATCTGGGATAATTTCTTCCCCATCCCCGTCCCCACCAGGAATTAATAATCACCGCAGGGATTCCCCATCCCTGCTTAACACATATTAATTCTAACAAAATTCAATAACAGATAAACAACAAGCACCTTACTAAATCCATCAACTTATTATTAAAAGATATCAAATTATCAATAGACCTCTATATATCTAATACACTATGTCTATATGAAAATAATAAATTGGTGCAATAAATAGATTGGTGCAAGATTGCTACAAGAAATAGGTTCGCGGGGCGAGGATGGTTCCCCGTCCTCGTCCACGCGAAACCCAAAGGGGATAGGTTTTCCCCCATTTCATTACCTGTGGGAACTAAATTATTCCCATCCCCGTCCCCTAACAAGGGAATTCCCTATGGGAAATCGGGGATCGGGTCCCTATTGCCATCTCTACACATGTCGCAGCTAGGTGAAAGTCCTATGTTTGGTTTTGGTCATTGAGACAACTAGTGGACTAACCTCTACTCTAAGTGTTGTGATTGAGATAGGTTAGGTCCACACCAAGGCTGAGCAAGGATGGCACTCATGGAGGAGATGATGGTGGCCAAATGGTGATGAAGTGCTTAATTCTTGGAAAAGAAGAAAGAGAAAACAAAATGCATGGGCTTAAGGCAAAGCTATAAGCTAGGGCATTTTGTTTTGCCAGTCAAGACGCAATAGAGTGTGTGATCAGGTTTAGGATAGATAGTCGTACTATTAAGAGGGAAACTCAAAGTTCAAATGTGATTATATCTAAGTGCCACTAGGTGGATTTGACACTTTGCATGTGTATTAGGCCTAGTGAGGACATGAAAAAAACTTTGAAAATGATTGTGAAAATGCTAACTCACTTGCACTAGTGTTGAAACACTTTTGGAGTTGGCACATTTGCAAAAGGGTGGAAGAAGCGAGCTAGAGATGGCCACTGGGGGCCATCAGACTCTAACTAAGGGCATCGGACCAGTAGAGGCTAGGTCTAGTGGCTAACCCTAGCCACGTGTGTTTCAAATCACACTGGACCCTTGTGGATGGTCCGACGGTGGTGACTAGGTAGCGTCAGACGGAACAGGCGCACCGCTCATCCATCGGGCCCCACCTGTCAGTGCTAGGGTCGGTACGGTAGGGGTCATTGGACTGTGGCCGATGGTCCGACAAAGGGTACCGGCCCAGTCCGACAACCATTTCACGTTCTGGGAGCTCTCTACATGGCGACAGACTGGGGGAGGCTTTGGTCCGACGATCACCAGACTCAAGGTGATCTGACCATAGCACACGAGTCATTGGGCGACAACGATTGAATTCAAACAACTAGTGACACGTGGCAGCAATAGAGACCATCGGACCCATCGCCGATGGTCCAATGGTGGGCGTTGGTCAGTCTGATGGCCCCAACTTTTCTGTAGTTAGGAGCTCAACGGTCTCCTTGGCTCATAGGGGCTTATAAATAGAGATTGGCTAACCTTTGGGCAGCTCTCTTGGCACTCTAACCAATTGAACACCCTTGTGAGCCTAAGCAGACACCTTCCACTCATCTCCTTGTCCATTGCTTGATCCAAGTTGAGACTAGGAGTGATTCTAGTGCATTTGCATTGAGTTGTTGCATGGTGTTACACCCTAAATCATTTACTAAAACATGTCATGAGCATCATGTTTATGTGTTAATGCATATGATAAAGTATGTAGATCAATTTCTTATAACTTAAAATGATCAATAAAATGTTAAACAAAAGTTGATTCAATAGTTCAGGTATATCAAGTAGGGTTTAAAACCAATTTTTATTAAGCAAAAATGCTATAGAACATGTATGTGACACTTAAATGAAGTTTGAAATGTGAACATTGTAGATGACAATGAAATACTTGGTATTGAAAAAGAATATTGCTAAGTAATATTTTCAGTAGCTTAGAAATGCAATCTGAAATTAAGATTAGCTCAAACACTTAGAAAATTTCTAAGCTTGTGGATAGCTAGACGCTGCTATGTTTAGCAATTTATTTGGAAAGATTGGGTTGAGGAGTGGTGTAGTGCTATGATTCGATTTAGTAGTTCCATATGCCATCTTGAGTGTAGTGAAGCCGGTTTAGGTTTAGGAGCAATGGTTTGGTCGTGATCAGCGCTTTGAAATTCGTGCATGTCACAACTTTGTACTGTATGGCGCCGTGCGCGTGGTCACCACGCGTGGCCAACTCGAATCGCTGCGCGGTTGTGCTATGCGCGCGTGCGTGGCCACGCACCGGCTGGCCGTGGCCGCCATGGCCTTGCCATGGCTTGGCCGCTCTGGCCACACCGCTAGGCCGCCGGTCCACTCTGCGCCCAACCGCCCCTACCACCGTGGCTGCCGCTGGTGCTGCTGCTGCTGCCTCCACGCCCATGCCACGACGACACCGCTGCCGCCACCATCGCATCACCACGCAACGCGCCTGCCGCTGCGCTATGTCGCTAGCCCGCCTTGACGCTGCACGCACATGGCCGTGTCGCTGTCGCCTTGCCACTGATGGCACTACGGCACGTGGCCCACGCCAGTCATGAGCGTGCGTGTCTGTCAGTTAGTGCCTAGCCGTGGGCTACGCCGGTCGCGCCAACCGCGTCCCGCCAAGGCACGCCTTTGCCGAGTCACTGGCTGCCCCTCCCCTACCGCTCCCTCGCTCTCTCTCTGCTATCGCCGTTGAGCCACGCCATTAAATTCATCAGGTAGAGATCATCTCAAGTCGATTCATCACATTGTTGGCTCCGTCGCACAGCTACCTAGCTACCCGTCCCCCCCTGCCTTGAATGGTGCCCGGTCGAGCTCTAATTTTGGAGTTTCCCTGCCACCGTGCCGATAGGATGGAGCTCTCCCATCATCCCTCCCGAGCCAATTCACCTGCACCACAAGCATCGCCTTGACTCCCTCTCCACCTTGCGTGCCTTAGTCAAACCGCTACCACCTCCCCTCCACCGCTGACGCGACCGTGCCGCCACGGTGCGCTGCCACACGGCTCAACCGCACATGGCCAGCCTTCTTCCATCATCTTCCGCCCTAGCTGTCACCTCGGCCTAGTCCGTGGTAGCCTCATGACGCTCATGCGCTAATCAATTAGGCCTGTAGCTACCCCAGCCCATTGGAATAGTGGTGCCACCATC